ATTATCCGTATTCGCAACCCCTGGTATCAAACCTGAATGATAGATTGTGCCGCCATATACTTGATTCTGCTGGTCCACCTGCTGCTTCTGCCGCCGGTTCAATGCGCTCCGTCTCCATAGCACCAGAATAACCAACACCAAAATAAGTAGACAAAGCACACCAGCAACGGATCCAAGAATGATAACAAGATTTTTCTGATTGTCGTTGTCGCTATCGGCCACTGCTGCTGTCGTCGTGGAATACAAAGTTGATGTTGTTATTGATGTTGTTGTTGTGAAGGTAGTAGTATTTAATCGCGTTGTTCCAGCTGGCCACAGATCAGTTCCTGTTAAAGTTTTTTATATTAATAAATACGAAACGTCAGACACAAAAACAAAAGAGTTATAAAACCAAACACCTGGCGGCCACGGATATCCAGCGGGCCACCCATATGGGACAGGGGACCCCACAGGAAACGTCCCGTTGAAATCCGAAGGAAGGCCAGGCAGCGGCCACGTGAATCCTGTGTAAAGAAAAGCCACATTATTCTACCCGCCAAACACAAGAGAGAAAGAAAGACAAAACCAGGTGGCCAGTCCGCAGGTACCGGCAAAACTGATGAAGTGGTGGTTGTGGCCGTGACTGACCTGGCGTCTTCGGTACTGGCGATTGTAGCAGCGTCAACAGTGCCGCTGTCAGCGCTTGTGGCCAAAACAGCAAGCATTGCCGTTGCCAGCCGTGCGTGGATACGAGCGTCCCCGTCGTCGGCGGTGCGAATTAAGTGCATTTTTGGTTTCCCCCGAAAAAGCAACGGCGGAGCTTTAATTGGAAAAAATTAACATTGAAAGAAAAAATTGGAAACTCTTCGGCGACAACCACAGAAACTAATAAAACAATGAGTAGAAAAACAATTGAATCCATTTTTTTCTTTTTTACTTTAATACTCTTTTTTTTTTTCAACCAGTAATAATTAATTCCCATTTGATTTTGTTTTCTGATAGTTGCTTCCTGAAGTTTCGGCGCTGTGCCAAGAAAAAAACTGTTTTCAAATTACAAAAACATACGCCGCTATTCGAATTCTGATGAATGAAAAGGAATTCAAAAACTGACCACTTATTCACAAAATATTGACGTGAAGTTGATACTGCACAATGATGACACATAACACCAGACTTTTGAAAGATTTTGTTCTTGATAAAAAGTCAGATGTTGATTATTAATCCCCAACAACTGGTTTTTCCTGTGAATTTTTCAGAAAAACAATCCCGAACATTCCCATCGAAGTTGCAACCTCCATTGCTAGTCATAATCACCTTGATAAATTCTGTGTTTATCTCACAACCACAATTCCGCCGTCAAGCTCTTTTCAACCTCGAATGTTCTTTCACTCCTTTAAGTTACTGAGATATTTGAGAAATGTCTCCGGCCTTGACATTTTGCTTTGATAATCTAATTTGGCAATGATTGATTGATTAGTTTCAAACAAAAAAAAACCAAACGGAAAAAAATAAGTCTTTCACACGCTTAATTTTCTTTTTAAATATTTTCATTCAGGCGAAAAGAAAGGATGAAGTTTTGGAGGATATATTGACTTACTTTGGAATTGTTGAGGGGGATTGGACTTCTTGGCTGTTAGTTTTGTGATTGAGAGGATGATTGGCGGACTTCGCAAAGAGAGAGTTTCGTTTATTGTGCGATACTTGTACTTGTTGTTTGTGTCCGAATTGTTCCGAATGAATCGATACTGTCATTTGATCATGTTTATCAGGGTTACATCGCTGACTCTCAGTGACAATTGGCTGCAAAATCAAAGTTGAATATTTCCAGTTAAACCGGATGGCTACATTATCAAGAAAAGATAGTGGTTTATCATTGTCTGCTGTCGTTTTGTTTTTCAATCCCAAAATCAATTTTGGCAGTCTATATTACAAACAATATATATATTTTTGTGTCTCCGAATTTCAAGATAACATGCAGCCGAAAAATCGAATCTGTGGCTGAGATGGTTAAGCGTTTGCTAAGTTGCAAAAGACGACAGTTCGATTCTGTCCGGATTGCTCCTTAAAAGTGTTGTCTGTTCTAATTTTATCATACGTCTTTCTTCTCCATCGTTTCTTTGATTTCTCTTTCTCTTTATTGGGCCACAAACTCCTCCAGAATTGTCTGAAAATCGGAGTTATTTTATATAAAAAGAGAGATCTCAATAAAATTGGGCTTTCAAGGGATTTCTATGGCACTAACCCATTGGACAGGCTTAGCACCATGATCACTCCTCAGTACGCTACATTAACGACCTGCAATATATATGTACCATCATGCAACGAAAAAACTAATTTTCTATTCATGATAACATCCACTGTTTTCCAAATAATTTTGAGTCATAAATCGCCCTGATTTGCGAAAATGCCTCGCGAGTCAGGTTTGCAAAATTTCATTGCTGCTGTCGGCAGGGTGAAAAATTTCCTGTTGAAGTATCACATAAATTAATATCTTTTTTTTTTTTTTTTT